GAGAAGCAACAAAACTTCGAGGGTTGAGCCCTTGAGTAAACGCTTGAACCGGCCAATCATCTACAACCGGGGGCAGGTCCATCTGTTCCATCTGGGACAAACTCCCTAAGCATCTCTTTGTCCCTTTGCTTGACTTTGAAGAGGTACAATTTCCTCGTCTCGACCTTGATAGCGCTGGCATGGTCTTTAACGAAGGCATCTTCAAGCATAGAAAATGAATTAATAGAATTTGAAGGTAAGTTATGGTACCATATTATTGCCCCTTTAGATAAGGTTTCTCCAGATTTCTTCAACAACACTGACTCTATCTCGTCGTCATCTAGGTCATTGCCTTTTACTGTGCACGTGTAGGAGGTTACATGCTCGTTTGGATCCGTGGTACCATTATATTTGGGAATATCGGGCATTCGGGGCCTCTTCGGAATTGGCTTCGGTGTCGCACTCGAGGGAAAAGGTTTCTGAATGAACTTTTCAGATTCCGGTCCTTTTAATATTGGAGGCACTCTCGGGATCTAATCGACCCTTGAATTGAAAGTTTCTACCTTCTTGTAATTTTCCTCTATCTTCTTTTCGCCATATTCCACCCATTTTATTAGTGCTTCGAGCATTTTCATCACCTCAGAAGTCTCTACGGGTCCGAACTCATCTGGTTCTGCGATAATCCGTTCGTCTCTCTGATCGTCTTCTCTAACCCTCTCGGGTTAGGCAGTGTTTTGTGTGTGATTTTGACTCTGTAATTGTGTTATTGCCACTTGCTGAGCTTGTAGCATTTCAAAAGTCAATCACAATCTAACTCCCTCACCTTCCCCTTCGAACGCGTCTCGAGCTGATGTCCGGGTTGCCCTGCGAATGCTATTTTCGGGATCAGTCGGTAGGTTGATATTGATGGCAACTCGTGTGTTGGCGTCAACTGGGTCTGCGATTAGGACACCATTAGGATCAATAGGGGGTACGTTATTTCTTGGTACCACATTATTATTTTCACCATGGTCGCCTGACTCGGCGTTAACGTTCAAGTGAGCAGACTGAGAATTTGACATTTTAAATATACCTGAAATCAAACTTCAAAGAGCAAGTATAAAATAGGGTGTGTTATGGAGATTCATATTATATCACCATTATTCTTTGCTCCATGGCGGTCGCCAAACTGTTTACCCTTAAAATGAGTAACTATTGAATTTATACGTGGTTTAAAGGATAAATGATTTAATTTAACACGAATGATCTAAGAATAGCAACTAATTGAATTGAAGGAAAACAAATCAATCAAACCAATCACGATGGATGATTTGGCCTGGCTTTATGATGAATGACAAGCGCAAAACACACACTTAAATATGCTCGCTAGTCGAATATAGTAAAATATAGTATCGTATCCACAGGGATTGGAGTTAAATAGTATTATCGTAGTTAATAGCTAGATTGCTATCCAAGATGCTCAACAAATTAGAATTATGTGATTAAAACTAAAATTAACTAAGAGTCTAAACTATTGACTAGTGACAATCAACGCAAGTAATGAGCAAAAGAAGATATCAATGGGAGAAAATAGGGTTTTGATAGGATAGGTGCAAGATAATTGGTTGGGATCTAACTCTAGATAATTCACTTCTAATGTTTAACTGAGTCTCTCGAATTCACTTGGTTCTTAGTTCAATTGCTTAGTGGAAACTCTTCTCTCCATTAAGTCTCAACTTCACAAGATGAACTAAATTAAGCATGTGATAATATGCAAGAATTCGTAGTGGATTGGTCTTTAGGAGAACCTCTCTTGATTATCCTCCTAACTAGGTTTAACCAACAATTCACTAGCCTGTTCCGATTACTAAGAAGAATTAATGAAATCAGCCAACAAAATAGAATGCAAAGATATCACAAGTTATGCCTCTCTCGATTACATGACTAGTGAATATAGATGCAACGATTAAAATATCCAAATTGATTCAATATATAAAAACTAGAGTTATAATCCACAAACAAGTATCAGTACACCGAATCCATCAAACTCTAAAGAGAACTACTCCATAGATATGGAGATTTTCATCATAAATATGTTTAAGTTAAAGGAAAATATAAAATGATCCAAACTCGTGTCTTGAGTGAGGATTGAATGATGAAATCCTTGTGCTTTGGATTCTCCACCTCCTCCTTAGTTTCCTTAGGTCTAAGATGTGTCAAAATTCCCAAAAATAACGTTTTTACATGTATTTATACTAAGTAGGGTCGGGCTCAAACGAAACCATCTTCCCCTAGCCGAAATTGGATTGTTACTCTGTAAAAGAATCCACAGGCGCGCCGCATGGGGAGACGCGCCATGCGGTGTGGTAGTGGAGTTTATCAAGGAGCATGTAATTTGACTGGCAGCAGCAATTTGGGCAGCCGCGGCGCGTGGCGCGCCGTGGGTGTGGAAAATTCTCAAAGTCCGGCTTTTTCTTGACTTTTTGATATCCAGATGTGGTTCTCGACCCCCGAACACGATCTCGGCTTATTCCCTTGAACTGTTACTCAGACTTCAGATCTCCAAATAGCTTGAATTCGTTCCATAACATTTACATCACTCGGAATCACTTCTACAAGGCAAACACATAATTAGTGCACAGCTCAAACTCAATTAAAGTGCAGTAAATTAGAGTGTAATTAGCGACTAAAATACGAGATTATAGCCTACCATCACACCCCACACTTAAACCATTTCTCTTCCTCGTGCAAGCAAACTACACTTTATAAAGACACAACCTTATTAAACAACTCTCCTAACTCATCACACCAAGAATATTTAAAATAGACTAAGTACAATAGTGTAACATCCTCACCTCAAGACTTGACTCACAAATACCACACATTATTCACAACTCGCTCACTTACTCTAACATAGAGGTCAACGACAATACCTTTCCTTCATGAATCAAGTGCCCTCACACAACAATAGAGATTAGTTCTACACAAAATAAAAGTTAAGAACAATTAGGAACTTAAGATAGAACGAATTCACTCACTCTCAAAAACAACATTCATATGCCACAAAAGATTAACCATAGGCTTGCCCGTAGTGTACTACTCTACTAAGTGAGTTCATTCAGTCAAGGATCAAGTAGGACTTTAATTGGTTGTAATGTAGGCTGCGGGATGGGTAGGATACATTTAGATATAAGAGTGACTACACCTCCCTAAGAACTTTAATACATATACTTTACCTTTCAAAACCCACACTTATATCAATCCATACTCCACATTCACATCAATATGCATTAACTCCCTACTTCTTTAAGCACACTTACATAAGAGTTACCACTTATCAATGAATATTTTTCACTATAATACAACTATTTCTTTATTCATTTTCAATTCAAGTGGCTCTCACTTTTTCGCAATAGTGCACCTTTCTTCTTATTTCATTAGTTTCACTCAAAAGCCAGACCACCCACCCCACACTTCAACCTTTACTAAGTTCATTACAATTTTCAGTGCTCATGAGAGGTACAAGGTTCAAATAGATGGTCAACTCAAACAAATGGGTAAGGCTCGTAATGTGGTTGCCAAAGAAACGGGATTATAGGCTCAAAGGGGTTAACTAAGATACATAACAATTAGGTGGGTAAGCACAGATAACTGGCTCAACAAAGAAATGCCTATATCACTTCCAAGACTGAATAAAACTACGATTTCGCTTTGCAAACACACAGGAAAAGTTCTAGACATCAAATGCAATGCATAGAATACACAAAAACCTCACACACACATGGCACATAACTCACTCAGGATCGGACTCATCAAGACAATCTAGTCAAAGCAGTTAAGCAAAGTTAAGATCATACGATTTAAGATACTTATACAAGAGTCAAATACTGAGCCTAAGCATCACAACTAAAGCACTCAATATTCTCAAGGCATAATAAAGTCAAGAAATATTGCTTTCAATCCAAATCAAAGCACAAGGTTTCCTACACCTAAAAAAAATAAAAACTAACTACACCTGGTTCAAACAAAACCCTTGAAAAAGAACCGTGGACCAAAGAAAAACCAAGGGGGAATTGTTACACTACCTAACAAAAGAAAATATTTTCAGTCTTTTTCCTTCGATTTTAATACCTCAAGAAACCAGTCGAATGATATCCATCCTCAGGAAAAGTTGAAAATTTTTAAAATTTTATGGTTTTTTCAATTTCTTCTATCTAATAGAAAGCAAAAAACTAGCACGTATACATACAACATACAATTATCCCCCCCACCCCACACTTTAAGTTGTGGCACGTCAGCATGACATACAATTAAAAAGCATAAGGTAGAGAACTAGTGCACACATTCACGCAGACATCTTCTTCTCAGCCTTCTTGGGGTACACCCCATACTTATCTTTCTCAATCACTGCAGTTTTCTCTTTCAAGTTCTTCACCTTCCACTCAACACTTGCAGATAGCTTCTCCTTTTTCACCGTCATTTCTACATTCATCTCGAAAGTCATCGTCTCCTCACCCACTCTAAGTATGAGTTTTCTAGCATGTATATCTAATATTGCTTTACCCGTTACTATGAATGGCCTTCCTAGGATAAGGGGGACCTCCTTGTTATCTTCCATCTTCACCACTATGAAATCTATAGGAAATACAAACTTATCTACCTGCACCAAAACATCTTCCACTATCCCCTCGAATGTTATAGTAATTTGGTCCGCCAGCTGCAAAGATATTGGCACTGACCTTATCTCTCCAATATCCTTCTCTAGTTTCCTGTAAATAGAAAATGGCATTAAATTAATCGAGGCACCAGAATCACATAAATATTTATCAACGTTAAGAGTGCCTAAAGAGCAAGGTATAGTAAAACTCCCTGGATCTCCACACTTTTGTGGGAGCTTGTCTTGCAAGATTGCACTGTAATGCTCTATGAGCTTGACCACTGGTATCTTCTATCTTCCTCTTCTTTGTATGGATATCCTTCAAGAACTTGTCATAAGCTGGCATTTGGGAGAGAACTTCTGTGAATGGCAAATTTACGTTAACCTATTTCAGCATATCCAGAAATCTCTCAAACTGCTTGTCCAGCTTTTCTCTATAGAGCTTTTGGGGAAAAGGTAGAGCAGGCATGTGCTTGCTTTCTTCATTAGATTCCTCCCTTCTCAAAGTTTCCTCCTCCTTCTTTTTCTCTACTCCCTTCTTGCCTTTCTTATTCTTCTTATCATCTTCAATTTTCAGCTCCTTCCTACTTTCTTTTTCAGGTATCACCTCTTTTTGGATTGGAGTGGGATCTTTCAACACTTTTCCGCTTCTTAAGGTCACAGCATTTACCGTTTCTTTGGAATTCTTTTCTGTATTAGCTGGCAGAGTACCTGGGATTCTCTCAGATAATATAGTTGCAATTTGTTCCACTTGTCTCTCAAAGTTACACAAACATGTCCCAAGTTCTTTGATAGCTGCACCATGAGCATCCAGCCTCTCATCTGTCTTGACAATGAATGACTTCATCAAATATTCTAACCAAGACTAAATTGGCTATTGAGGCAAAACTACGGCCTTTGCTGATTTTGTAAGCCTGGGCTCCTTGTCCCTAAAATCTGGGGTTGTTTTGTTGCGGTGTACTTGATGTACCCCAGGTGAACTCCATGAATAACCGGGGTGCTTCTGACCCATTGCATTGAAGTTATAATTCCGGACAGCATTAACTTCCTCAATTAAGGCCTGACACTCATGAGTTAGGTGTCCTCTTCCACATATGTCACATATTGCATGAGGCTCATTATGTATCGAGGCTAAGGTCAGCTTCCTTATTTCTTTGGCCATGGTGTCAAGTTGCACCTGCACAGATGTGTTAGCATCAACTTGGTGAACACCATTTGATCTTTTTCTTTCAGCAATCTCAGAGGGCCACTGATTTTCATCTTCAGATAACTCATCTAGAATTGTGACTATCTCCTCTGGAGTCTTTTTCATCAACAGGCCTCCAGCTGCATTGCTCAACGTTCTCCATGAGGCTGGTGTCAATCCATCCCAAAAATCCTAAAGTTGCATCTAGAGTTCAATTCCACTATGTTGACACTTTCGCACTATCTCCTAAAACCTATCCGATGCTTCAAACATAGTTGCAGTCTCGTTCTGGCAGAAGTTATGGATTTCTCTTCTAAGCTTGACCGTTTGAGCTAAGGAGAAATATTCAGCAAGAAATTTTCTGGTCATCTCCTCCCACGTTCTAATTGATCCCTGGGGCAAGCTTCGAAGCCAGTGCTTTGCATCATCTTTGAGTGTGAAGGGTAATGCCCTTAAATAAACTGCATATTGTGACACACCATTGTATTGAAAGGTGTTCATAATCTCCTCGAAGTCCATCACATAATTGTTTGGATCTTCGTTCAACTTTCCTCTGAAGACACAGCTGTTTTGGAGGGTTTAGAGCAACCCTTGCTTCAGCTCAAAATTATTGGCTGCAACTGAAGGTGGTCTCACACTTGATAAGCCTTGGTTATATACCGGTCTAGCATAATCGCCAAGTGGTCTCCCAGCCGGGAGCTATGTTTCCGAACTGATCTGGAACCAAAGGCTGATTCTGAGAAATTCTCCGAGCCCTCTCCTCTTCGTAGACAATTTATGCATCTCGAAGAGCTGCTTCCTCAGCATCCCGAGCAGCTTTTTCTCTTAGATTCGGCTGCCTCTCTCGCAGCCAAATTGACATTATCATCATCTCCAGCCATATTTTCTTTGGTTGAGGATTGCCCAACCGTCTCTGTATTCTCGGGGAGATTTCTTTTCTTCCTCAACTGCCGCAGTTGTTTCTCGATTTTTGGTTCGTATGGTAGCAATCCTTTCCCAGAAGATAGAGTCATGCACCAATCTAACATGTGCATGCGCACAGTCAAGGAGCACCCAACCGTAAAAAGAGAAAAATAAAATAAAAGAAATAAATTCCTGAATTAGAACTACAAACTATTTCAAAGACTATTAATTTCCAATCACCGGCAACGGCGCCAAAATTTCACGAGCGCAAAACACACACTTAAATATTCTCGCTAGTCGAATATAGCAAAATATAGTATCGTCTCCACAGGGATTGGAGTTAAACAATATTATCGTAGTTTGTAGCTAGATTGCTATCCAAGATGCTCAACAATTTAGAACAATGTGATTTAAAATTAAAATTAACTAAGAGTATAAATTATTGACTAGTGACAATCAACGCAAGTAATGAGCAAAAGAAGATATCAATGGGAGAAAATAGGGTTTTGATAGGACAGGTGGAAGATAATTGGCTGGGACTAACTCTAGATAATTCACTTCAATGTTCAAGTGAGTCTCTCGAATTCACTTGGTTATTACTTCAATTATTTAGTAGAAACTCCTCTCTCGATTAAGTCTCAATCTCACAAGATGAACTAAATTAAGCACGTGAAAATATGCAAGAATTCGTAGTGGAATGGTCTTTAGGAGAACCTCTCTCGATTATCCTCCTAACTAGGTTTAATCAACAATTCAACTAGCCCATTCTGATTACTAAGAAGAATTAATGAATTCAACCAACAAAATAGAATGCAAAGATATCACAAGTTATGCCTCGCTCGATTACATGAACTAGTGAACATAGATGCAACGATGAAAACATCCAAAACGATTCAATACATTAAAACTAGGGTTATAATCCACAAACAAGTATCAATACACCAAATCCATAAAATCGTAAAGAGAACTACTCCATAGATATGGAGCAATTCATCATAAATATGTTTAAGTTAAAGGAAAATATAAAACGATCCAAACTCGTGTCTTGAGTGAGGATTGAATGGTGAAATCCTTGTGCTTTTGCTTTTCCACCTCTTCCTTAGCTTCCTTAGGTCTAAGATATGTCAAAAGTCCCAAAAATAATATTTTTACATATATTTATACTAAGTAGGCTCGGGCTCAAACGAAACCACCTTCTCCTAGCCGAAATTGGATTGCTACTCAGTTAAAAAATGCACAGGCGGGGCGCATGGGGCGATGCGCCATGCGGTGTGGTAGTGGAGTTTATCAGGGTGCATGTAATTTGACTGGCAGCAGCAATTTGGGCAGCCGCGGCACCCCACGCGCCGCGGGTGTGGAAAATTCTCAAAGTCCGGCTTTTTCTTGACTTTTTGATATCCAGATGTGGTTCTCCACCCCCGAACGTGATCCCGGCTTGAACCCCTGGACTTTTACTCAGACTTCAAAGCTCCAAATAGTTTGAATTTGTTCCATAATATTTACATCACTCGAAATCACTCCTACAAGGCATAAAACACATAATTAGTGTACAACACTAGCTATTAAAGTTCAAACTCAATTAAAGTGCCGTAAATTAGAGTGTAATAAGCGACTAAAACTCGAGATTATAACCTAAAACCAATGAACACTAAAAATTTGTTCCGATCAAGCCCTCAAATCGGGCTCTGTCGCAACTAAATCAATAAGCAGCTGAAGAACACTTTGAACAGTAATTAGAGAATAAAAATTGACTTTTATAGATTTGATATGCGTGCCAACAGTGATCTTAAAATTAGAAGGTTCTCCCCTTTATATAGTACGTAGGGGAGTTTCAATCCCTAAATAAGATAAAAATCTTTATCTTCTAGTAAATAGTGATATATAGTTGATATCGGGCGAGATTTGCGCCGTAATATCCGGTTAAGGGCGGATATTTCGGCCCCTCGTTTGTCCTGTCTAACCGTATTTCCCTTAACCTCGGTTCTTTACTTTGCTCGAGCTCAATGATTGGCCACGTAGGATTCTTGGCTCACCATTCGTCCTCTCGGGCTCTGATCTATGGGAGCCCTCGGCTATACCCGAGGCCATATTGGCTGGCGTTGTCCTCTCGTTCCTTTACCGAGAAATCGGGGGTAATTTTATCTTACACGGACACATAGCTAAATATCCCCGTGCTCTTTTTTCCTATTTTCTTTGATCTTTCATGTCTCGCTTTCGAAGCCACTGGGGAGAGAGAATGAACGATCGACTGCTATCTTCAGACTTTAATATCAGGACCACCTTTAAAGTTATTCGGTCTTGTTCCAAATCGGCCATTTATTCAACACTGCTACCACACTCTGCACGCATTTCATCAGCCAGCAGAAGTGTTTTTTCAGTTTATTAGAGAGAGTAGTTGCATCTTAACAAACTCAAAATGGCTTTCTCATTACCAATGGTTTTGCATGGGATACATTAACAGAATATTTGAGGAAAGAAATTAGACAAAAGATCTCAAAATCTATCTTTATGTTGGCTCTAGAATTTGCTCCTTGCGTATGTGCTTTTTTAACTCTGTATATAGGTGTCCGCTCTTTGTTTAATTAGCTTTCATGTGCACTGGATGCTCGAGCTGCAGGTTACCGCTCTTCAGTGCAAGCGACACTGACCTATTATCACAAGTCAACTTGTATATGTGAATTTGGGTCTGAAGCTGTAGAGGTTCTAAAGTTTTACTTCTTGGCCCAAATATTTTAGCGACATAAAAGTAGTGCATAACAGCACTTTGTATGACATGTTAGAGGCCCTGAAATTGTTGGATTCTGGTGAGACGGACTTGTTAACACCAATAGAGCTGATGTCTCGTAATGTCCTAGATATATGGGATATAATTGGCTTTCTAGGAGCTGAGTTACTCTCACAATTTGCCAGGGTCGTTTGGTAGGATATATAAGCAAAAATGATTCTGGGTTAAAAATTTAGTACCGCCTTATCCCTTGTTTGGTTACTCATCCTGTGTCAGTTCTTCCGGAATTAAAAATAGTACGTGATAACTTATACTTGTCAGAAGGTGGAATCGTAATCCCAAGTAAGTTATCCGGGATAAAACAGTAAAATTAACAATCCCAGAATTAATACAATATACCTAACAGTTAATAAAAAAAATATTAGGATAACTTATCTCAACATAACTAATTCCAGTATAACTAATTCTAGCATAACTTACAAGTATCTATGTTTCCAGTACTGCCCCGCATAATTTCTGGGTTTATATATGGTAATCTTGGTGTGAACAGTTGCAATAAATTTCCTCCCTGCTTGTTAAGATTTATTAGAAATGGATTTGAAATGAAAAGACTTAGAAACTAATAACAGCATCCTTAACCAAAAATTGAAAAGGAAACAAACAATTGAAAAAGAGACGGAAGAACAAGAATAGGCACAAAATGGGATAGTTCAACTCGTTAGTGAATATTTTTGCGAGTGATTTGTTCGATTTAGGAGTGACAAACGAGCGGGTCGGGTTGGATATGGTTCGGGTCGAAACCGAAAAATAAAAAATGGATAAATTATCCAATCGACCCATATTTAATACGGATAAAAAAACGGGTTAACCGACGGATAATATGGGTAACCATATTATCCATAAATACTTGCGTATGATCACTTTTAGAAGAATTCTTAGTATCTCTAACTTGAACAACTCTCAATTTAAGACTTTACAAATGTAAAAGTTAGACTCATTGGTTAACCATTGGTAACTCATTGATTATCATTTT